AAAAATTTCTCAAAATAAAAATATAACATATAGAAATCTATGGGATACAGCAAAGCAGTAATAAAAGGAAAGTTAACAGCAATAAGTGTCTACATCGAAAAAAGTAGAAATGCTTCAAATAAATCTAACAATGCATCTCAAAAAACTAGAAAAAGAAGTGCAAACCAAACCCAAAATTAGAAGAAATAAAGACGAGAGCAGAAAAAAATGAAACTGCAACAAACAAAAAAACACCAAAAGATCAATGAAACACAAAGTTGATTTTTTAAAAAGATAAACAAAATTGGCACACCTTTAGCCAGACTAAGAAAGAGAAAACTTAAATAAAATCAGAGATGAAAAAGGAGACATTACAACTGATAACGGAGAAATTCAAAGGATCATTAGAGGACTACTACGAGCAACTATATGCCAATAAATTAAAAAACCCAAAAGAAATAGATAAGTTCCTAGACACACACAACCTACCAAGACTGAGCCAGGAAAAAAATCCAAAACCTGAATAAACCAATGACAAGTAACGAGACAGAGTAGTAATAAAAAGTCTCCCATCAAAGAAAAGCCCAGGACCCCATAGCTTCACTACTGAATTCTACCAACCATTCAAAGAACTAATACCAATCCTACTTATACTACTCCAAAAAACTGAGGTGGGGATACTCCCAAATTCATTTTAGGAAGCCTGTAGCACCCTGATACCAAAACCAGGCAAAGACACAACAAAAAAAGAAAGCTACAGGCCAATACCTCTAATGAACATAGATGCAAAAACCCTCAACAAAAGGCAAGCCAACAGAATTCAATAATGCATTATAAGGATTATTCATCATGATCAAGTGGAATTCATTCTAGGTATGCAAGGATGGTTCAACATATGCAAATCTATCAATGTGCTACATCATATCAACAGAACAAAGGACAAAAACCTTATGATCATTTCAACTGATGCTGAAAAAGCGTTTGATAAAATTCAACATCCCTTCACGATAAAAATAAAAACCCTCAAAAATCTGAGTATAGAAGGAATATACAATAAAAGCCATCTATGACAGACTCACAAGTAGTATTATACTGAATGTGGAAAAACTGAAAGTCTTTCCTCTAAGACCTGGAACAAGACAAGGATGTCCACTTTTACCACAGTACTAGAGGTTCTAGCTAGAACAATCAGACAAAACAAAGAAAGAGAAATAAAGAGCATCCAAACTGGAAAGGAAGAAGTCAAATTATCCTTGTTTGCTGATGATATGATCTTATATCTAGAGAAACCTAAAGACTCAACAAAAAAAACTATTAGAACTGATAAAAAACAAATTCAGTAAAGTTACAGGATACAAAATCAACATACAAAAATCAGCAGCATTTTTATATGCCAACAGTAAATCATCTGAAAAAGAAACCAAGAAATGTATACCATTTATAATAGCTACAAATAAAATATCTAGGAATAAACTTAATCAAAGTAAAAGATCTCTATAATGAAAACTATAAAACATTGATGAAAAAAATTGAAGATAACACAAAAAAGGAAAGATATTCCATGCTTATGGATTAGAAGAATAAATATTTTTAAAATGTTTACACTACCCAAATCAAGCTATAGATTCAATGCAATTCTCATCAAAATACCAATGACATTTGTCATAGAAACAGGAAAAATAATCCTAAAATTTATATGGAACCACTGAAGACCCAGAATAGCCAAAGCCATCTGAGCAAAAAGAACTGGAGGAATCACTTTACCTGACTTCATATTACACTGCAGAGGTATAGTAACTGAAATAGCATGGTACTGGCATAAAAACAGACACACAGACCAATGGAACAGAACAGAGAACCCCAAAATAAAGAAATACATCTATGAACTCATCTTTGACAAAGGTACCAAGAACATAAAAAGACAGTTTCTTCAATAAATGATGCTGGGAAAACTGGATATCCATATGCAGAAGAAAGAAACTAGACCCTTATCTCTCACCATATACAAAAATCACAACAAAATAGATTAAAGACTTAAATCTAAGACCTGAAACTACTAAAAGAAAACATTCGGAAAACACTTCAAGACATTGGTCTGGGCAAGGACTTCTTGAGTAATACCTCAAAGCAAAGGCAACCAAAGCAAAACTGGACAAATGGAATCATACCAAGCTAAAAAGCTTCCACAAAGCAAAGGAAACAACCCAC